TTGAAATGTAATTTTTTTCTAAAATGCAATTTTGTTTTTGAAATGTAATTTTGTTTTCTGAATTGTACATTTGTTTCAGAACATTTAAAAGTGTTTCAGATTTTGTAATGTTGGTTTGCACCTCCAGGCCACCGTATGGTCGGCCCCTTCCTTAAATAATCTTCATGAAGCCTTCTGCTCCAAATACAAACTGTCATTGGTTCTTGTGTCACGTTTATGTAACAACGTTCAGCCTGTCACYTATTTGAACTTTGCTTTTATTAGGTTGTATTGAAAGTGTTCTGATTTTCCCCTTCGTCTTTTGTCTTCCAGTCCGAACTGCCCTGATAGCTATAATTGGATTCATGCCAACAAAAGGAGAGGGTGCCATTGGATCTCTGGATTATACACCAGAAGAAAGAAAGGCTCTTGCRAAAAAGTAAGATTTGCTTGACAACATTTTCCTGTCTTCAGTCTCTGTTCAGCTTGAGTTGAACAATAATGGTTTTGTGTTTGTTAACAAGACATCCTACCAACCATTGTTTTAATCAGACTTGCAGAAAGTCATCWTTAACTGATTGTTTGGTGTAAGCACAATTAAAGATGGCTGCCACATCCACTTGACCTTCAAAAACAAAAGGTATACCTGAACTTGACCTGTTGGTTTAAATGATCAAACGTCTGTACATGTAGCTGAACTTTGACATGTTCTCTGGTAATAACAGCACAAAGTTAGAGTCATGGTCTCTGGAGGCTACATGAGCTGACATGTTAGTTTTCATTTCACACCACTCTGCAGATTGGATGGAGCAGCACAAGTCTCGCTGCTATTAGCAGATGAGATGAGGCTTTAAATCAGCTGAAACTTTCATTATCACTCTCTGTGCTAGAAACACATTTCTCTTTATTAATAAAGCTTTTTTCTTTGTTCTTGTTGTGACGTGTTCTGAGTAATCAAAGACCTCAGGTCATCTTTTGTATTTTCCAACCATGAAGTTCAATCCTTTAACCACAACCAAGTAACTATGCTACCTTCAGTTGTTAGAAAAAAGCTGTATATATGACTTTGCATCATAGTCTATCTAAAGGCCCTGTCACACTATAATGTTTTAGACAACTTATGCCAACTATTGAAAAGTTTAAAGACATCTACATTAAAGATGGAATTAAAAAAATCAACAAGAAGCCTCTTTTAGACATGTTCATATTGTAATGCTAACACACTGATCAAATATATAACTTTTATTACCGTATTTATTCAACTATAATATGTAAAATTAAATCCATAAAGTCATCCATAAAGTTGGAGGGTAGTATTAAACTCGGATAAATAATTTTACTTATGTATTTTAACTGAAATATCGACTTCATTCACAAAATTATTGAGTCCAGAAATGAGACAGGGTTGTGAAAAGCACTTGAAACAAGCTTACCTCTGACACTCCTCTGTGCTTCAGAGCGAGATAATAACAGATCCAGGAAGGCAACATGATGTGAAAAAAAG